ATATGCGCCTTTTTTTGTTGTTGTTTTTGAGATGAGATCTTGTTTTGTTGCCCAGGCTGATCCTGAACTCCTGGGCTTGAGCGATCCTGCCAGCCCTTTGAGTAGCTGGGACTGTGGATGTACGCCACTGCTCCAAGCAACCTTTGTTTTATGTGTTTCAGGTTACTAATTGAATTGGGTTATGGGGAGCTAAATAGTCAGTAAATGTAGTTGTTTTTTATATTTTTACTTTCTGTCCATGGAAAATTGTGCTGATTAGCCTAGAGCCTGTTTACCACAGTTTATTTTATTATAGTGAAGGGCTGACCTTGCTTCAGAATTTCTTCACAGCTAATTTTCTGGAAGAATAGAAGCAGGCCGTGATTCTTTCTGCTGGAGTGAGCTCTGTGACTGATGAACATCCTTAGGGAAAGCTTGAGAACTCTGTTCTGGAACAGGGAAATGTTTCCCAGGGTTCCACTGCTGAGAGTTGAACTTGGAATTCCTAATCTTCACATGTTTTTTCTCCACTGTGTGGTGTTTATATACTTGTAAAGCTGGCCTCACTGTGTCTTCTATCTCCAGATTCCTTCTCTTCAGAACCCAATCTAGACTTCAGAAATAGGCTGACTTCAGTGAGCCAACATGATGTAGAGCAGGTAAGGCTCTCTCTTAATTAGAGTAAGGATGAAGCCTGGTTTGTTGATAAACATCATCAGTTTCGGGGTTGCATAGAGAGAATTTGAATTCTAGTTCAGCCCTTTAACAGCTGTGTGGCTTTGACCTCATTATCTTCTGAGTCTCCTTTTTTTTTTTTTTTTTCCCTTCATGTAAGATGTAAGTATGAAAGCCTTGGTGGTAGGCACACCTTTAATCCCAGCACTCAGGAGGCAGAGGCAGGCAGATCCTTGTGAGTTCAGGGCCATCCTGGTCTACACAATGAGTTCCAGGTCAGCCCCACTATAGGGAGACCCTGTCTCAAAAAGACAAAAAAAAAGAAATAGGAATGATAATTCAATCATAGAGTCCTGTCAGAATTAAGTAAGATTTTTGACTATGCGAGGCTCCCTGTAGCATGCCTGAAATATCTTCAGTGATTTGTAGGCATTATGCTCTATGGGAATTTTCTCTCCATTATTTAAAAAAAAGTCTGAAGAAATTAACTTTGGAGAAAAGTTTTATTTTCACTTACGTTTTAGGAGTTCCAACCCATTTCTTTGGGCCTGTGGTGAGCATGCTGGATCACACGTGGAGCAAACTGCCTCCATTGTCCCACAGTCTTGTTCAAGGGCACTCCTCTAGTGATCTAAGGTCCTCTTCCTAGGCTCTACTGTAGGGACAGACAAACTTAACACACAGACCTTTCAGGAACATTCATCACCCAATCTGGAAATTCTTTTTTTTTCTTCTCTCCTCCCGTCCCCTCCTTAACATTTCTTTTTAAAAAATATTTTTCTATTTATTTTATGTGTATGAGTGTTTTGCCTGCATGTATGTGGGTGTACCTGTGTTATGCAGTGCCGCAGAGGTCAGAAGAATGGATTCCTCTAGAGGTGGAGTTGAGGACGGTTCTTAGCTGCCATGTAAGGTACTGGGAATTGAACCCATGTCCTCTCAGCACCCCCTACCCCCGGTTAATATTTCTTACAAACAGAAGAATGGGCTGTGGGGAGCTTCAGCTGTAAAGTTCTTGTATGAGGCCCAGGGTTCAACCCTTTCACTGTTGGAAAAAAAAAGGCAAAAAACAAAAAACTGTGGGTTTTTGTTTTGTTTGTTTGCCTGCTTTTATTTTACTATTAGTTATTTATCTGGGCTTTGAATTCACAAAGATCTGCCTCCCTCTGTCTCCTGCTTGCTTACTTTTTAATTGCACGATATAGTAGAAAGTCAGCCTTTCTTTCCTGCACAACCTTCCCTTCCCTAAAGACACCTACTCTTAACAACTTTTTAAAAAAATATATTTTATTTATTAGTTTTATTTTATGTGTGCATATTGTCTGTCTGTACGTAAGTGCACCCATGTTGTGCAGTGCCCATGGAGGTCAGAGGAACGTGTTGGATTACTCTAGAACTGGAGTTAGGATGGTTGTTAGTGGCCATGTGGGTGCTGGGAGTCAAACCTGGGTCCTCTGTAAGAGCAAGCAGTGCTCGTAACTGCTGAGCCATCTCTCCAGCCCCTCTTTAACAACTTTGTGTATGGCCCTGCAGGAGTTGTGTTTTATATGTATGTCAGTATGTCAGCACCAATACTAGTTGCTATTTAAGACATATCCTTAAATGTACACATTTATACAGGTGTAAAGCCAAATTCTCTTTTGGAAGGCCCACACGCTCTCGGCTCTCAGGCCCTCTGTGAGGTGCACTGTGCCCCTCTCAGCTCTCAGGCTCCACGCTGCCTTTACAACCAACACAAAACTGACACAATGTCCCTCTAAGCTATAGTTTGGGGAATAAAGATATTTATTTGGGCTTGCCAACAAAGCTTATGCTATCTGGGGGGTCAGGGGGGTCACTTACAGAGGCATGGATGCCCATGGGCTGTGTCACCTACATCTTGGCTGAGCTTTCAAGATCTGCCACCAGCGCCCCGCCAAGATGGCAACTCCCCACCTCCCAGCTTCCTTCGTGCCTGTCCTTTGACCCATCCTCTCATGCAATTGAAGCTGACTGATTGGGTGGGAGGGGTGACTGCCTCTCCCTCTGTCTATGGAGTCTCTTAGGGTCCAAACATTCAGCAGTTATTGGTTCTTTCAGAGGCTATACCTGTCCAACAAAAGGAAATTATATTAATCCATTTGAAGTAGAAATTTGAATATTTAGTTTGATACCCCATTACAAAAATCTGATAGTATTTTACAGTGGAAGGCACCCTTTTGGTGTTGGTGGGGATCAAACCCAGTGCCTTACATGTGCTAGGCAAGTGTTCTGCCTCTAAGCTATACCCCCAGCATATTTTATATTGGAAAGACCACATTACAATAATGTAACAGTTTTTAAATTGGAAGACATAGAATAAAAGAAATACTTGGTAGCAACTTAATAATAACACGCTGTCTTTGTTACCTCCAGCTTCAGTCTGATGCCATCAATGCTTTTGGAGAATCACTACAGAAGAAACTTCTGGATATCGAAGGATTATATTCAAAGGTTCGATCCCGCTATAGTTTCATACAGGCTCTTGTCAGGCGCATCCGTGGCCTGCTGAGGATTTCTAGGAACTGAGGCTACTGACATTCTGCTGTGGAGGAAATGAACTGAGGGTTTATAAAAATAAGCCCTTTTTATACATGGGTTTGTTTCTAAATTATGATTGAAAAATATTCTGCTATTTCTTTATACATGTACATCTTTTCTGAAAACTTGGCCTCATTTCACCTTCACTTGTGGAAAATAAAATACTTTTTAAAAAAAGCTAACAAAAGTAATTATATGGTCAATCTTTTGAAATTTTGTCTAGAATGTGAGCAACATTATTGAGACTTAACCAAAAAAACCTTCTCACAGTGGTTGCTTTCCCCTGGAGAGATCCCGAGAGTGGAATTAAAGGCGCAGTCTATACGATCTAGCGTTTTCAGCCTTTGTGCGTGTGCACCATACACTGTGGCGATGTTTGGGCTTACTCTCTAGCCCGGTGGATAGCAGACTGTAACCATGCTCAACTATGAAAACATGGAAGTGTCTCAGAAGGTCAAGCCATCTCCTAAAATTAGCTTTTGCTAATTTATTTTTTGCATTTAAATTAGTATGATTTGTATTTATTTCTTTGAAATGATTGTGAAATTTCTCAAATCAACCATCAAACTATATTCTCCTTTATATGGGTACCACTAAGGCAAAAAAATTTATTAGATCAGCACTCTTTCTTGTCCAGTTATATTTACAGTCGAGTAACTGTCATTTGGGAGTTCATTTCCCCCTTTCTACCAGCAATTTCAGCCTGATACTGAAGAGAAAGTCCTGACTTTCATGTAGAAGCAGAAGGTTACTGTTAGTTTCATGATGTCATAGTGTTGCTTTTGTTACTGTCGACATTGTTTAAGCTTATACTAAAACTTTCTTAGCTTTGAAGCATCTTCATTTAAAGACTTGGTCAGTTTTATATTTAGAAATTAATTTACTGCCCACCAGCTAAACAATAATCTTTAACTAGAAAGCATCCAGTTAGTCTGTAGCAATCTTGGAGAAGAATGAACAAAGAACTGGATCCAAAATGTGGTTCCTGTTGCTGCCCTGACTGTGCAGAATCTTTTACTCCTTGTTTTTTCTTTTGTGAACCTAGGGCCTCATTCATGGTAGGCAAATGCTCTATCACCGAGATGTATCCTCAGTCCACGGTAATCTGTCATCAAGAACACAGATGTGGGCAGCAGTGACATGGCTTAGTGGATAAGGGCAGTTGCTGCCAAGCCTGGTGACCTGAGTTCGATCCCTGGAACCCACATGGTGGAGGGAGAGAATCAACTCCCCCAAGTTGTTCTCTGATCTCCACACACAGACTGTGATATTTAAATGAATAAATGTAAAACAAATTTTTAAAAGAGAAAAAAGCCCACAAAAAACCACAACCCACCAGCCATCAAAGCCTGAGGCATAGAATCTAAGCATTTTATAAATCTGTGGTAAAAGCTTTCACAGAAGATGATAGCTAAACTTGGAATTCAGATTTGGAGTTTGCTAAGTATTTTTTTAATTAAAAATATTTTTATTGGTTACTGCCTCTGTGCCATCTTCCGGCGGCTCCCGGATGAATTGACCGCCTCCTTCTTGGAGGCCACGGCCCCTCCTGCCTGGAAACACTCCCACCCAGGAGGGAGCCTGAGCGACCCTGTCACCGGTCATACCACTTGGAGCCTCACCGACTTGGTGAGTGGAAAACGACTGCACTTCGCCATGTGCATGGTTCCCTCGAGGAAAACACCCCAAAAAGCAAGGCTTCTGGGGTGTGCAGGGCTCCCTACTCAGGGAATCTCCTGCAGATGACCTTCCTGGTCTCTAGTCCACTTCCCTTTTAAAAAATGTTTTTATTTTTATTATTTTATATGTATGAGTGTATTGTCTGCATGTGTGTAAGTGCCCCCATGTTATGCAGTGCCTGTGGAGGTCAGAAGAGGGCGTTGGATCCTCTGGAACTGGAATTAGGGGGACGGTTGTTAAGTGCATGTTGGTGCTTAAGAATCCAACCTGGATCCTCTGCAAGAGCAGCCAGTCTCTTAACCACTGAGTCATCTCTCCAGTTCCCTCTACCCTTCTTGAGGTCATCTTGGAGGTCCCCGCTGGTCCCTTCCCACAGCTCTGCTGCATTCCCAGCAGTGTCCTTCCGTGTACTGCCCAGCAGTTACCAGGGAAACCATGGCAGATAGTACCCGTGCAATGACATAGAAGTCAGCACATCTTCCTAAAGTGTAGGTGTTGATTTCTGGGGACCTGGAGCCAGGCCTGAAGCACTGCATTGGCTGTTGCCAGGCTGTTGCTGCTTATAGTTAAGAGATGACATTTGGAATCCCAGAGGACTAGTTAGAGCTCAAGGTTAAACAATAAACCTTGGTGGCTGGAGAAATGGCTCAGTTGTTAAGAGCATTGGATTACCCTTGCAGAGAACCTGGGTTTGATTCCCAGCACCCACATGGTAACAACCATCCTCGAGTACCAGAGGATCCGACTCCCTCTTCTGACCTTCAGAGACGTTCCACCCGCCACACACGGGTGCACTTACATGCAGGCAATATATGCATACACATAAAATAAAAATAATATTTAAAAGTACCTGGGTTGGAGCTGCAGCTTAGTTGGTAGAATGTTTGCCCAGCATTTGTCCCTCTCAATATTGTTGGTCTACCTCATTTGCCACTCACAGTGCATGCTTTTCCAAAACAGTGATTAAGACATACTCATCAACATGATAAAAACTTCACAGAACTGAAGTGAGAAGCAGTTCGAAAACAGTATTTAGAGCTAAGTTTGCACTGTGCCTCTAATCCTAATACTTGGGAGGTAGAGGCAGGAGGATTTGCAATTTATGTTTGACTTGATGAGATCCTGTCAAAAGGAAAAGAAGCAGTTTGTCAGAGTACCCTGACAAGCAGAGAAGTGGGGGAGAAAGGGCTGAGGGAGAGGGAGGAGAGAAGAGGAGGGAGAAAGAGACTATTGAACTTTAGGTGGAAAAGAAATTCAAAAAAGATACAAACTGCTAAAACTAACTGAAGAAGAAATAGAAAATCTGAAAATACTAAATGGAAACTGATCTAACATCTGGCTGGGACACACTTCTGTCTCTTGCCATATGATTCTGAGCTGCCTCAGACCTCTGCTAGCAGGCAAGTCATTACCACATGTACCAGGGAACCATGAGCTAAAATGAATCATTTCTTTTACTTATTTTTATTTTCTTATGTGTATGCGTGTATTGCCTGCATGTAGGTAAGTGCACCTGTGTTGTGCAGTGCCTGAGAAGGACAGAAGAGGCTGTCAGATCCCCTGGAACTGGAGTTATGGCCAGTGGTTAGCTGCCATGTGGTGTCGCGAGCCGGGACTCTGTCCAGCAGAGTCCAGGAAAGACGACACAGACACCAAGGTGAGGTTCAAGCTTCTGTTTCTCTTTCTCCTTTATTCTCTCTTATTCTCTTCACTATGATGCTGGCTCTCTCTATTACACACTTCAGCTCTTTATATAGCGTATTCCAACAGCCCTCCCCCCAGCCGGTACCAATCAGGGCTCACACACGTGCAGCGGCCAGGCAGAGTGTAGCTCATAGGCA